GATGTCAAAGTTACTAGCGTTACCATCAGAATGAGGGGCTGGGGGAAAAACTGCTGAGGTGAAAGCTAGGTCACAATTTAAAACATGCAGATACAGCATGGCAAAAACGCAACACCTTTAAATGAAAAGCGCAATCGGCCAGATAAGCAAGACTGATTTTCACAGAATTGAGTGTTATTTTGTGCATTGCAGGCCGGAATTGGTAGTTAGCTGGCTACCTTAGACGTGAAATGAAGGTATACGCAAGTAATGTTAGTGCAGTACACTTCAGCTGAGCCAGAAACACAAAACAAACATCGCTGGCATAACTACTGGTGAAATCGAGCTTTTATCAGATTTTGACTGAATCGCCAATAATTTTATAAATGCGCTTGCTAGCTTTGTTAGCAAGCTAACTCATAGAAGCAACATGCAGTCCCATTAGATTGTACAGGACCGTGCAATGCGGTGCGTTTTTGCATATGAATTTGGTATGATGCAACCAAACAGATTAAACCAAATTTTAAACAGCTCATTTGCTACTTTATATCTGTTGATGTGCAAAGTTAGAAGATTATGGTGTCACACAATTCTTGAGATATTAAGTATGAGAGTAATGTGACTCACTCACTCACTTCCATTATGGTCATATTAGCCCGCTATGGCAGGGAAAAATAAGGTAGCATTGCTTCACAGGCAATTTTTTTGACATGAATGCTGCATTGTGCACTTATTAACCTGGTTGGCCCCAAGGTGTAACGATTATCACAGTTGATCAAGACGTAGATGGCTCTGATTTTCACCCCCAGAGAGCCTGTTCTGGGTTATGAAGTCTTCTATCTTGTTTTTGGTGCATTAATAAGTATCCCACAAATGGCTTGTCCTGAAAGCCTGTAATGAAATCGTTGTGAGTTGGGTTTGAACCTGCGCGGGAAAACCCCATTGGATTTCAGGGCCAATGCCTTAACTTCTTGGTCGAGAGGTAAAGGCGTTGGACTTGAAATCCAATGGGGTTTCCCTGCGCAGATTTGATCCCTGCTCGCAGCGGTTTCTATAAGAGCTTTTTGGAAGAATCGAAATGAGGGAATTGATTAGTGCAGTGTTTCCCAAACCTCTCCTGGCGTACCCCTTGTCCTGCATGCTTTAGATTTCTCCCTGCTCCAGCACAGGTGATTCAAAGGATCAGGTCATAATTAACCCCCTGAAACTGCTTGATCATAAGCAAATCTTTCAAATCACCTTGCCTGGAGCAGGGAGAGATCTAAAGCATGCAGGACAAGGGGTACGTCAGGAGAGGCTTGGGAAACACCGGATTAGTGCATCAAAGATGAGCCAAATGACTTCAAGAACAAAGCTGACAATGTCTTTTAAGTTCAGCTTTGACCTCATTAAAATGGACTGAAATTTTTCACCTCTCTATCACGCCCCCTGTCCCTGCTTGGGCCAAGTCTTCTCCCAAACCGCACTGTAATTTCTAGCTTTTTTTCACTGGATACGTTTATCCAGCTGAGAAAGGAAACTGAGCACAAACCCCCATTACGGCTCTGGGAAAGGGCACATTTGGTCTAAGCCTTACCTATGGGCAATATTAATTTCTCCAGGTGGCCCATCATGCATGTCTTTTGATTATGAGAAGAAATTCCATGCAAACAGGGAGACAACCAGCAAAATCCACACAATATGTTTTTAAAATGAACCCCGCATTTTGAATACAGTGCTCATGGATGGTGCTGGATATTGTGTCTTTGGCCACAAAAAGTAGGTAAGTTTCTTGCCTTGAGAAAATTTACTGTTTTCCAGTGGAAAGTAAAAGTCCAATTCTCGTAGTAAGGTTTTGACTCACCACCTTTGTTTCTTTTCACCGTCAACTGCTTTAACACGCTGACTGCCAACTACGAGATAACTCGCAATGGCGGGTCAGGGCCAGCGCTAGACCTGAAAATTCGGGGGCAATTATCCATCTCTTTAATTATTGGCAACAATTAGTCCTGGTTAATTCTAGATGGTTTTCCTATATTAACACGTATTCCAATTCAAGAATAATCAAGTGGCGATTGAAGACAAGGCTTCTCTCCCCCATGCGATCCAACAGCAAATAATGGGCTACATTCAGTACAGAAATATAATTTAATAATAATTAGGTCTAGGCCTATGCACTGGCACTCAGCAATGGTATTTATTTATTTATTTATTTATTTTCCAGCGAGAGCGGCATCTCAGATCTCTTCAGCGAATGCAGGTAATTCTGGTGACAAGTATACGTGGTTTCCTCCGTTTACATTTTCCGGTCTGACAGCTGTCTATTTTTTACAGCAAGTTGTGTGACCGTGCTGCAAAAACAGGTGTGGGTCCCTGCTGAAATTACCTTCATTCGCAAATGAGTTCTGAAATGCCGCCCCCGCTGGAAAAAAAATAACGTTGCTGAGTGCCAGTGCATAGACCTAATTATAATTAAATTATTTTTCTGTACTGAATGTAGCCCATTATTTGCTGTTAGATCGCATGGGGGAGAGAAGCCGTGTCTTCAATTGCCACTTGATTATTCTTGAATTGGAAAACGTGTTCATAAAGGAAAACCATCTAGAATTAGCCAGGACTAACTGTTGTCAATAAAGGGATGGATAATTTCCCCCGAATTTTCAAGTCTAGCGCTGGCCCTGACCCGCCATTACGAGTTATCTCGTAGTTGGCAGTCAACGTGTTAAAGTACCCTGCATCTTTCCAATTGTGCTACTGGTGCTTGCTTGGTGTTCTCTATGCTTAATTTCACTTTTTATGGATTTAGGTACTTCCTGGTAATATTGCTGGCTATCAGCTTTGGATGCAGGTATTTATATATTCATATGGATTGAACTGTGTGGGAATTACTACCATTCAAAATGACATTCCTGTCCAAATATTGAAGGACCACGATGTATGTGCTGTAGTTTGTAATATTTTACTATGATTTATGGCTTTTGAGTTGGGGACCTAACCATCTCTCAACCTAATACACGCATTATGTGGTATCCCATTCTGAAAAGGATTCCATATTTTAGCACGAAGGCTTTTCACACACTCTGTGGCAAAATCCCCTTCAGGTGTGATGTTTACGGAGAATTAAAGACTCAGGCTTTAGGTGAGGCTTGAACTCACAACCTCTGCATTGCTTCACTGCATACTGCTATATAAATACCACGCGCTAACCAATTGCACCACTGGAGCAGAGAACACATTTGCAATGTGGGATCATATTGCTGAGAAACTGTGCTGATGGACCTTGATAGATTTTTTTCCTTTTGCTTCAAATTGTGTCAGGAAGGTCTCTAAGGTTAAACTCATTACTTTGCTTTATTGCTCCTGACTGAAGCCATCAGTCTGGATCCACCATCCTTTAGGAGAATCCAGTTCATTTCATCACTTGGAAAGAAGGATTTGAGCTTCTTCTTGGCAAGCGTCAGCTAAACAAATGTCGAACTTATCCTTTGCTGAAATATTTTCTCTGAACAGTTTTCCACTTGGCCTGATCAACTTTAAATGAGCTTGGCACCAGAGAAGGCAGCAGGCCTAAGTCAATTTTAAATGAGCTTGGGCCCAGAGAAGGCAGCAGCGTTTTTGAATCTTCTTTACATATGGTTTTGTGTGTGCATGGTTGTGGCGGCCCTCTGGCCTTGTCAGTGTTAATAGATGTGTTTTGTGTTCGTTTGTGCTTGTCTTGGTCCTGTTTATTGTGATTGCTAATCTTGTCTTCTGTTTGCCTTTTTACAGGTGTGCCGGTGGTACACGTGACTTAATTATTGGGAGTGCGCTGTCATATGAACCAGCTCTAAGTTGTGCTTGGGGGGCACACACTGATTCGGCTTGTTACGTGCCACCGGCACATTTGTTTGTGGGTCTTGTGTTGGGCCTTGTTTGTAGGCCGGCACCTGATCTCTCTTTGTTTTGTCATGTCTGTGCTGCCTCGAAAAACGATTTCTTATGATTGAACTCTTGAAACGGAAAATAAATCTTAATGATTTGGAATTCGTAATTGTTGTCCTCCTCTCCTTTTTGTATATGTGAAGCTCATGGTGTGTCACAATGGTAGAATTTTACCTTGTGTTTTTGGATGCTGCAAACAACTTTGTCCACTTAAAATAGTTTTCAGAAGTGTTCCTGAGCCCATGCACTTATTTTTACGATGGAATTCTGTCTGTTTTTAATGCAGTGTCAGCTGAAGGACTGAAGATCACAGACATTAAATATTGGTTCTCAGCCCTGCCCTGTGAGCACAGAGATTCATTTGGATTCTCTGAGTATTTCAATGATATTGTGTACTGTTGATGAGGAAATCCCCAAATTTTTTCAATTTTCCGCCAAGAAACGTTATTCTTAAATTCTTGCACTATTTGCCCACACTTTCTTTCACAGAGTGGTGAAGCCCTCACCATCTGTACTTCTACAAGATGGCCTCTCTGGGATGCTCTCTTCATTCCCAATCATGTTGCTGAACTGTTTCCAAGTAGCCTGATTAGCTGTGAGATGTTTCACCAGATGCATTTTTTTTTAACATCATACAACTTTTTCAGTCTTTTGTTGCCCCCGTCCCAAATTTTCTGACACGTGTTATCAACTGACATCATGGCTCTCAGCGGAAAGTGTTCCGGGAAGGCTGCTCATGTGTCTCCTTGCTCATGATTCCTCAGCGCTCACTCCGAGCAACTTATTGCCAGGGTCCAGAAGCAATACTTCCCTGTATTTCAAAGCTTTTCTCCAAATGTGCAGCCATCTATTGCAAGAAAGCTGTATTTCCTAGTAAATTAATGATCCTTCCTTTTAAATGCCAATAGTGACATGTGAGTCATTAAAACAGTGTAGACATCCTGAAAGTATGCATCTATGGATCCTGTTTGGAAGACAAGTTTAAGGAACTTTGGATTGGTGTCCACGTTTCCAGCAGTTTAATGCTTTTTCCCGTTGTGCAACCTTTTATTGCGCAGAAGATGCATTTCCTTATGAATTAATGATCCTGCCTTTGAAATGCCAGGACTGTTGTTTAGGTTGCTGTGATGGCCGAGAGGTTAAGGCGTTGGATTCAAAATCCAATGGGGTTTCCCTGTGCAGATTCAAATCCAGCTCGCAGCATTTTCAATATAGGCTTTCAGGACAAACCATTTGTGGGATGCTTATCAATGCCCCAAAAACAAGCTAGAAGACTTCATAACCCAGAACAGGCTCTCTGGGGGTGAGAATCAGAGCCATCTGCCTCTTGATCAACCATGATAATCATTACACCTTGGGGCAAACCAGGTTAATAAGTGCACATTGTAGCATGCAAGACAAAAAAATTGCCTGTGAAGCAATGCTACATTATTTTTCCCTGCCATAGCGGGCTAATATGACCATAATGGAAGTGAGTTAGTGATTGAGTGAGTGAGTCACATCACTCTCATACTTAATATCTCAAGAATTGTGTGACACGGTGATCTTCTAACTTTGCACATCAGCAGATATAAAGTAGCAAATGAGCTGTTTAAAATTTGGTTTAATCTGTTAAGTTGCATCATACCAAATTCATAGGCAAAAACGCACCGCATTGCACGGTCCTGTACAATCTAATGGGACTGCATGTTGCTTCTATGAGTTAGCTTGCTAACCAAGCTAGCAAGCGCGTTAATAAAATTATTAGCGATTCAGTCAAAATCTGATAAAAGCTCGATTTCACCAGTAGTTATGCCAGCGATGTTTGTTTTGTGTTTCTGGCTCAGCTGAAGTGTACTGCACTAACATTACTTGCGTATACCTTCATTTCACGTCTAAGGTAGCCAGCTAACTACCAATTCCGGCCTGCAAAGCACAAAATAACTCTCAATTCTGCGAAAATCAGTCTTGCTCATCTGGCCGATTGCGCTTTTCATTTAAAGGTGTCGCGTTTTTGCCATGCTGTATCTGCATGTTTTTAATTGTGACCTAGCTTTCACCTCAGCAGTTTTTCCCCCAGCCCCTCATTCTGATGATAACGCAAGTAACTTTGACATCTAAAAGCTGTGTCCAATTCTGTTCATTTCGTTTAGGTTTATCAGCATCGGTGTAAATTCATTCAGTACTCTCACAGACCCTAAGATCACAAGCGGTGCTAGCATACTGGTATCAGGCTGCAAAGTTGGATTTTTGGCTGTCAGATTTGATTGACCACCACAAATATCAACTTCGTGCACAGTAAATGTGTTCTGAATCCGTGTAGTTGCATCATGTGTAATAAATATACAACAATGTGCCAAATCGCAGGGTCATATACAATTTCGTAAGATTGTATGTTGCTTTTTCCTCAAGGTTGAAAGAAATACAGAGTTGGATTTTCCAAAAAAAAAAAAAATATAGACTCATACAAAGATAATGCAATGTCAATAAAAAGAGCACAGCCTTGCGCTTCTCATTTAAAGGTGTTGCGCTTTTAGTATATCCTTTATTTAACCAGGTAAAAGCCTCATTGAGATTAAAATCTCTTTTCCAAGAGTGACCTGGCCAAGAAGGCAGCATAAGCTCGGCTACAATACAGTACATTTCAATTACAGTGATTACCAGAAAGACAAAGACAAAACACCAATAACGCATACAGCAGAACAACTAATACGGTGCTTAAAATGGGACAAGTGTATAAAAGATGAAGGGGCTACTAAAAACAGACACAACGGCCAAGACTGCTATTTTCACGATCTTTTAAAATTGCTTTAAATTCTCCCAGGGTGACCAGTTCAGGCTGTTTCAGATCCTTCTGAAGGTTGTTCCAGGAATTGGGAGCAGCGTATTTAAAAGCCTTTTCACCTAATTCAGTCCTAACTCTGGGGACCAACATCTGTAGAATGTTTTGAGAACGCAGGCCATATTGGTTTTCAATTTTATACATGTATGTGCACAGATATGAGGGAAGCAAACCAAGGAAGGACTTATACACAAAAATCAACCAGCACGAAAATCTGCGGAGATACAGAGATGGCCACTCAGCACTGCGTATAATGAATAGTGATGTACAAGATGTCCACAGCCAGTAAGGAATTGTCTAGCACAGTGATAGACAGTGTCCAACTTCTTAAGGCATTGGTCAGATGCACTCATATACAACAGATCACCACAGTCCAACAAAGGTAAAAACGTAGCAGAAATCAGGCATTTCCTTGTCTGAAAGGAGAAACAGGATTTGTTTCTAAAAAAGAACCCAAGTTTCAGTTTCAGCCTCACAACAAGGTTGTTGATATGTGGCTGAAATGACAAATTCTGATCAATAAGAATACCCAAATACTTATATGTTGAGACCATTTCAATTTCAGCTCCGCGAGAGGTTATGATCTTAGGAAGGACTTAAGGTAGTTTTTTTTCCATTTGAAATTAGCATGAATTTGGACTTATCTGGATTTAAAACAAGTTTAAGATGAGTTAAATGAGACTGAACAACATCAAAAGCAGACTGCAAGGTTTCTAAGGTTTGTAGCACCGATGGAAACGAGCAATAAATAACAGTATCATCAGCATAAAAATGGAAGGCAGCATTCTCAAGGTTATCACAGAGGTTGTTTACATAAATTGAAAAAAGCAGTGGTCCTAGTATAGAGCCCTGTGGTACACCCTTTGAAATTGGGAGGAGGGAAGAAGAGGACCCAGCAAACTGCACACACTGTGATCTGCCTAACAAATAGTTTGAGAACCACTTTAGAGCAAAGCCAGACAAACCAATATTTTGCAGTTAAGTTGCCAAAATGGCATGGTCAACTGTATCAAATGCCTTTGATAAATCGATGTAAAGAGCTGCACAGTATTTTTACAGTCTAGTGCCTCAATGACATCATGTACTACTTTCATAGCTGCAGTTATAGTACTGTGACGTTTTCTGAAGCCTGACTGATGAGGAGTCAGAAGACCATTTGTTTCCAGAAAATCTTTGAGTTGTTCAATAACAAATTTTTCGAGGATCTTAGCTGAAACACATAATTTAGAAATCAGTCTGGATCTATTAATAACTGAGGGATCCCCTCCTTTCAACAAGGGGAGAACATAGGCAGATTTCCATATACTGGGGATCTTGTTGGAGGAAAAGGAGAGATTAAAAATATATGTCAGAGGTTCTGCTATAAGGTCCACAGCTAGCTTAAGAAAATAGGGCTCGAGATTATCAGGACCTGCTGATTTATCTAGATCCAGCTGCTTCAGGGCTCTATGGACTTCAATGACTTTAAATGGAGTGATGCTGAATGTAAGGTCCCCTTCAGTTTGAAGACATTTAGTGCATTGGTCAACAGACTGTTTCGAAGTGGGATCTAAAGATTCAAATAAGGAGCCAGAGGAAATAAAATGTTCATTAAAACACTCTAAAATGGCTAACTTATCAATGACAGGACCTGAGTCTTTCATAATGCAGGCTGGTAGCTCATTTTTAGTTATGTTCCCATACGAAGATTTGATCACTTTCCAAAATTTTTTGGGGTCATTTAGGTGAGCAGTTGTTTTAGACAGAAGGAATTCAGAGTTTGCTTTTTTATTAAGATTATTTTTTGGGGGAATTTCTCCTTTATTTGACAGCCCCACAGTGCAGAGAGACAGGAAGAATGGGGGAAGACATGCAGCAAATGACTCGAGCCGGAGCCGAACCCGGGTCACCGCGGGAAGGACACAGCCCCCATGGCGCGCGCGCCTACACCGATGAGCCACCGGGGCGCCCAGATTTTGCTTTTCTGACTGGAGAGGTAAAGTGATTGCGAAGCTTTTGAATGCAGAGACCAACGAAGATGACATCAACCTGTAACACCATACCAATGCCAAAGGCTAGGACAGCCAAATTTTTTGTTTGGGACTCTACGATCATGGTGATCGTGGGAAATTTTGGGAAGTACTTCAATTTCACACATCATGAGAAAAGGAAGGGAGAACTTCTTTTGTAGTTACCGAAGTCGATTTTCTCAAAAAGGACGTTTTGTGACTTAAGTAATTTCAGTTCTGGGGTCTTCAATTTATTTTAAGTTGGGACTTATTCAAAATGTTTTCTGTGGTATAAAGCAAATCTTCAGGGTGCCCCAGTGGCACATCCGTCTAAGCGCACGCAGCATAAAGGCCGTGGCCCTCCGCGGCGACCTGGCTCGATTCCGGCTCGTGGCATTGGCCGCACGTCTTCCCCATTCTTCTCCCCAGCTTTCCTGCCTCTCTCGACTGTGTGACTGTCAAATGAAAGAAAAAATCCCCCAAAAAAAGCAAATATTTAAAATGGGAAACATCCTCAGCGTTTGGAATTTTGATAATTGGCGCCGGATAGCATTATTTACACCCTAAGGTTACTTAAATATGTGCCGTGTTATGAGCTGCACGAATTCAGAATATTCAAAAAATACATTGGCGTTTTATGTCATCATTGGGGAAAATGCCAGATAACTTTTTGAAGCAATGAACGGAAATCTTCGTTCTGATCAGTCTTTGCAAATGATTGAATTAAGCTTGGTTACTGACAAGACATTTAGAATGGCATTCGCACACTTACCCTTGACGCGATAATTCATTTATAAAATTACTAACGTTGTGACATGAGTTTTCTTCAGAGCATTGACGGATGATTAAATACCCTGTAGGCTTCCGTCGAAACTGCTGGCATTTTAATAAATTAAAAACTGCATCGCCCCTGCAAGTGTCTCCGTGTTGACAAATGGGATTGTGCTAGTAGGATAATAATCGATACTGATGCAGACGTTTTCATTATTATCGCTCATGCGCAAACCTCTCAACAGAATTAAATCTCACTTATTCAATCTATTACGTTGAAATTACCTTTCTTTACAAAACACATCATCGATGTTTCCCCGCCAGACGCCTTCAAGTTTTTTGGGGCGGCATCTTTCAGCTAATCATTGAGATCTTAAAGATTTTCCAGAAAAGCAACAACATTAAGATGATGGAAAGGGGAGTAGAACAAACGTTAGACTAGATCCTATGACACGCGGGATCTCATTGGAATCGGCAGATTGAAAAGTGTTTGTCGAAATAAAACGTGTAAAAACTCGGCAAAATTTTTCAAATTTGTCGGGAAAGTAACCGGCGGAGGAGGACTGCGTAGTCAGCAAATTGCCCAGCTGCCGGGGCTTGCGGAACACTCTGTGATTAGATGT